CCTCCCGCTTTAAAGCTGTGGGGCTTGACGCAAATGGACTTATTTTCCATTAAATAGTGTGACCATTCTCTTCCGTCATGGCTTCTACCGCTTGATCTATGTAACTGGTATTTTGAGAACCGTTTAGTGAGTGCAGCATGGCTAGCTACAATATATGAACAACGATCAATATAAACAATGGCGCGGATTGAGAACGTAATCGGTCAAAATGATCACGTGACAATGAACACCACAAATTGCCAATCTCAGCGTGGCCAGCAAATACTTTAGCGAACTCACCGACAGGTTGCGTGACCACAACAGTGCTGGTATGTGATTGGTTGGACTGTGAGTATACTTGTTGAGGATACGCGGCATGCTGCTGTGGGTATTCAGGCGATGCGGTGTTGTAAGGTGGTGGAGGCTGCTGCTCCGCGGATTTTGTTGGTTCGCCCATGCTGATCAATCACGAGAAGCCACTTCTGAAAAACATAATGTTATCAATTCATTACAATTCAGCGTGATTAATGTTGTTAATTCATTACACTTCGACGTGTGTTGTTCGTCGGATTATCTATAATGGCGTTATTTTTGTCAATGTTCATTCATTAAGCTTCATGAAATAAAATCGATTATTAAAACACGTATGGGAGGCCTTTTGTAAATGTCACTAGGCCGAGGGCAGGATAGCCTTTGTTGGCCATAAGTGTAGCTGCCACACTTGAAATAGCACGACTACGAGGTGTGATTAACGACTTATGCCACGACAATCCGACGAAAAAGCGAAATGAATGCACACGTCTCATTGCTGTCAGTGGAGAGGTATATTTGCATAAAGGCAGGAGATCCAATTCGGTGTATATCACGTGACGACGACGATTACATCTGCAAGCCATTCCAACTAAATAGAGTAGAGTTTATAGGTGCTGTATACCGGTACGAAGGTTGTGGTTCGAACCCAACTTTTTTCAATAGTTGGGAAAGAAGTGTTATTCACCTTCAAAATTTCAAACTTGACACCTGACCTGACTAATGCCTGATATTAACGAGTGTGTGAACTACCAATCTACTTGGTAAAAAATGGGTTATTTTTAATATACACATAATAAGTAAACTGTGGCGATTACTACTAAACCTGTGAAAACAACTGTGGCGATTACTACTAAACATGTGGAAACGACTGCGACGATTACTTATAAACATGTGAAAACAACAGTGGCGATTACTTATAAACATGTGAAAACTGTGACGATTACTTATAAACATGTGAAAACAACTGCGACGATTACTTATAAACATGTGAAAACAGCTGCGACCAATACTAATAAACATGTGAAAACAACTGCGACGATTACAAATAAACATGTGAAAACAACTTCGACGATTACTATTAAACATGTGAAAACAACTGCGACGATTACTAATCTGCACATGACAAAAACTGATATTAAATCTACATAGAGACAAAGACTATGTTTGGGGTTACATGAACAACTTGAATATACAGCCAGACCAAATGGTCACATGAGTGGTATAAACGTCATAAAAGCACAAAGTTATGAGTACCTCCCCTAAGGAGGTACTGACACACTAATCTCATATGTTTGCAGTGTTCGAACGGTTACCTGTAGCTAGCATAGTAATCCCGTACAGAATCAGTGCAAACCAAAATTCAATCGTGGAAATACGGGTGGATAAGCTTGGAAGAGAATATTGCTCTGGTAAACCTACCAGTATCGACCTTGGTGAACGACGGGGTTGGGTGGGGTAGGATCAAGTCGTTATATTCCCACAACGCCGAATAAATTCAAATTTTATA